GCTAGTCTAAATAAAGATTGAGGTAACTGAGAGGGAGCGGACATTAGAGTGTAAGCTCCTCTGTACAGAGACTGATGTGACTGTGGGGGAGGGGACATTAGAGTGTAGGCTCCTCTGTACAGAGACTGATGTGACTGGGGGGGGAGGGGACATTAGAGTGTAAGCTCCTCTGTACATAGACTGATGTGACGGTGGGGGAGGGGACATTAGAGTGTAAGCTCCTCTGTACAGAGACTGATGTGACTGTGGGGGGACATTAGAGTGTAAGCTCCTCTGTACAGAGACTGATGTGACTGTGGGGGGGGAGGGGACATTAGAGTGTAAGCTCCTCTGTACAGAGACTGATGTGACTGGCTCAGTGTTCTGTGTACAGCACTGCGGTATATGTCAGCGATATATAAATGGATCATAATAGGGGGTGTCTGTGGTCAGGTCTGAGGTAAATCTCTGTGGAGAGCAGAATCTGCCCGGTGACTCTGATGCCGCCCTGTGATTGGTCCCTGAGGGGGATGTGCAGCCAATGGCAGTGGAGGAGGTGTGAGGCCTGGGACTCTGATTGGAGCTCTGTTGGTCATTGAATCCTCCATTTTGTTTCACATTTGGTGACAGAAGTCACGGGGGAATGGAGTTTTTCTGTCCCAGGTAACTATAAAATAATATCTTATTATCGTCTCTGCTGCCACTTCCAGCAATGTCTCCTCTCTACTCACAACTTCTTACCTGGACTCTACTTGTTGCCTGTATGTGACCACTTCCTGCTTACCTATGACTTCACTTCCTGCTTACATATGACTTCACTTCCTGTCTGCATGTGACATTACCAGCCTTCCGCACAGTAGAGGAGAGATCACCGGCTCCTGGATGTGAACTCAGCAGCCTCCAATACTGAGACAACCGATCCACTGCTGGTAATCTCTGTACATTGTATATGTGGGGGGGACTCTGTATATGGGGGTGCTATGGGGTGGGGAGGCAGGGACTCTATATAGGTGGGTGCTATGGGGTGGGGAGGCAGGGACTCT